GGCAAAACTCACAAGGAGAGCTCTCACGTCTGATAAGCACCACCTTGCAGTCCCTCTGCAGACTGGTCTCCCCTTCTCAGCTCTGCCCCACTCCCCTGCCAGCTCCTCACTCCGAAAGCTTCAGCTGCCATCCCCGCGCCCAGCAAGCTTTCTGGGGTTTTAATGCCCATTGGGGAAACGAGAGGAGCCAGCCCACTCTCCAGAGGCCACTGCTCGCTTCTGAGAGAATCACCAGCTTTTATAAGAAGAATAAAAACACCACAGATAAAATGATGAAGTGGTCTTCTTTAAAATCTACTGATACAACTACAGCAACGATCAAAGGCTCATTTTGTAAGTTCTTAAGCTGCACTAGCGCCTCCTCATGACTCTGAAAACTCAGCCCTATCTTTCCCTTGCAGTCCAGTCCCAGCGGCCCAGACGCCGGGAGCCTGAGGCCTGGGCTGGAATCCTCAGACCACTCAGCACTGCAGTCCCAGGCTGCCCTGCAGCGTGGGGTGAGCCGCGCACATGCTCGGACACAGCTGCTAAGAGGAGTCGCGGTTACTGGAGACCGTCCTCTTACACGGACTACACACTTGCAAGGGAAAAGGGCCTGCTCACACGCGATGAAATGCAAGGACAGAAAACCAAGGGAACTACCGAGGCCCAAACTGGAAACTCAAAACCCTCCTGCCTCAGTCTTCCTGCAAAGAGCTAAATAACGGTGACCGATTAATACTAATCAAGGGGTCTTACAGACTGCCCATGTACACGGCAATGCCCTGAACCGACCCATACTGTCCCTAAGGAAGACGGGGCGGGGGGGTGACCCCAGCCTGGAAACACGAGGCTGCCAGCCCAACCCTGGCGCTTTTCCCGGACACTCCAACTCCACCGTGACCCTTGCTCGGTCCTGCCCGTGTGACCCAGAGCCGACCCCCGGGGGCTGAAGTCCTGAGAGCCCTCAGTAGCAGGGCCCGCTCGTCACCAACCTGTTCCCAATTCACTTGCCTCGCAGCCCTGGCCACCTGCGACTGCAAGAGCTGGTGCTAATTACTATGTGGCCAAGCTTTGCTTTGTCCCCAGCACCACGAGCCCAAGAACCGGATGCACACAGCTTCATGTACTCCAGAAAGCCCAGTGCTGAATTTGCTTTTTGTTCTGTTTGTTTTTGATTTCTGAGACAGAGTCTCACTATGCAGTTCAGCCTGCCCGTGTGCTCACTATGTAGCCCAGGCTGGCCCCTCCAGACAGTCCTCCTGCCTCAGCCACCCGAGCGCTGTGATCACAGTCATGCATCACCATGCCCGGCCTGAATTTGGTTTTTAATCTCCCCAACAACCAGCAACCAATTATTCCCAGAACCCAGAGGTCTGCAGAACATGAACAAATGTGGAGACAGTGACTTTCTGATTGGGGAATTTGGGACCTGCTCATAGCCTTGAGAGACGCCTATCCCACCCTCTCCTGTAAAACACATAGAAAAGTAGGATTTCATAAAATTTGTCTTTGGACCACAAGGCTACAATGGTCTTTAGTGTCTAGAAATTCTAGTAGAGTAAAACAATAAATCAACCCAGATGGTAAAAGTTGTGATGTGTAAAAAAAAGGCACTGAAAACACAATTTCTTTCTATTTTTTTGTGTTTGTTTGTTTATGACAGGGTTTCACTATTGTAGCCCACACTGGCCTGAAACTCACAGTGATCCTCCTGCCTCAGCTTCCCGAGTGCTGGGATTACAGCCATGCACTACCACATCCAGCTAAAAACACAATTTCTTAAACAGCTGTGCTTAAGAAGTGTAAGTACAGAGCACTTAGCCTCGTAGTCAGACAGATCTCCAACCTCAGCTCTGCCACTTCCAAGCACTGTGGAGCCTCTCAGGATCTGCTGTCTCTTTGGGCCTCAGTTTCCCAGTCTGTAAAAGGAGGCTACTGCCCCCTGCCTCTCAGGAATGTAAGGGTTCAGAGCAAAGAAAGTGCTGAGCACACACTTCCTCCCTGACACTTGGAAGGCAGTCAACAAACACTTGTGCTTGTTATAACCAGGGCTGATGAGCTATTTGGAAATACTTTCCCAAGGGAAGCCCAGCGTTCAGTCTTCCAGGGAGACCCACGCTAACACAGCAATGGTGTGGCAAAAGGAAAACATCCACCCAGGGGCCGGAGTCACCGACACAAACCAGACCACTCCACAGCCCACGTGTCAGCCGCCACTGCAGACATGGTCCAGCCATACTCCCTGCCAGCTCCCCAGCCCATAAGGACCCCACTCACCAGACTCCCGGATCAAACTGCCCCTGGAGAACCTGCTCCCCTCCCCTTCCCCCTCCCCTCAGCATGACTGACCTTCCCCTCCCTGTCCTCAAGCTACCAAACTTCTCACCATCTGTCACACGTAGTGTGGGGGCGCAGTGACATGACGATAATTCAAACCCGGGTCAGTGCTTCAGCCACCGCCAGCCGATGAAATGAAGAGGCATCTCCCCAGGGAAGGCCGGAGGTGCCCGCAGGACCCAGTAAGTCTGCCCACTTGAGTTCCCAACCTACTGCAGCCCGGGGCTCACACGCCCCACCCCACGAAGCCTACCCTTCTAACCAAGACTCGGCAGGCCGTGTGCTCAGAGTGAAGAAGCAAAGGCAACAGCAGAAACCCCTGGTGTGAGCGTAAGAGAAAGCACCCTTTCCCCGGGGGGGTTAGCGTGGAGCCGGGGAGCCGGGCGCCGTGCAGGAAAGGGTTCTGCACCCATCATTTTCCACGGCCGCGACACACCCGACACCCACAACCCACAGGAGGCGAGCTTCAAGTTGGCTCACAGCTCTCGAGGGTTCAGTGCCTGGTCAGCACACATGGAGACCGCACCGGCCACGTGACCCTGGCCCCAGGCCAGCACCCGGACCACTAGGAGGCAGACCCATCACGGCAGAAGGGCTGGCGGAGCAGCGCTGCCCGGCTCGCGGCCACCAGGAAGCAGAGCAGGGCACAGCGCCAGAGCCAAGGGGCCAGAGCCCAACACAGACCCCAAGGCCACTTCCACGAGCCCCCAGACGCACCGAAGTGAGCTCACCCATCCCCGGGGGGCGCTCAAACCAACCAAACGGTCCAGCTTGCTTGTCACCTGAAGGGCTCTGACTGCAAGGCCACCAGGGGCTCCCAGGCACAGGCGCTCAGCTGCGGTACAATCCCCCCCGCAGCTCGCTCGTGTCCTCCGCGTTTTCAGGTTTGTGCATCATGACTCGTTTCCCGGTCACAGCGGTATCATGCGCCAGGATAAGGTCAGTGCTTTGTCATCCAGCGAGAATTACCCAACTGCCAGTTCCCCTTGAACTTTGTTTTTCTCCTCTGATGCCAGCCCCTCAGCCATTTCTCTGCCCTTTAACACCACAGCCGGCAAAGAAAGCAAAGGCACAGGCTAGCTGGGCCTTTTGCAAAGCTCAGTAACATCTCTTAGATAAATGAGAATAAAGGGAAGGAACTAACCATTAACCATTTCTCACCCTATCAGTACCGGCTAGTTAACTTGAAGACCCCCCAAGAGGGGAAGCCAACAACAGGGCAATCTAAGCTGGATATAAATCCTTAACACAAACCAACGGCCTCTTCCCGGTACTACCCACCCATGCCCAAAGTTAACACATTCACAACAGGGCCATACCTGCATGACCGTCCCATCCAGTGGCTTGTAGCACCCAATGGGACCATCCCATGCCACTGGAAGGGACGGTCATGCATGCACCGGTGGTTCAAGCTGGCAGCAATGTGTTACGAAGCCCCTGCACCAACTCCTTCTTCATATTTTTCTTCACTTGTTTTCTTCTAATCATTTGTTTGTTTTGCTTTTGTTTCTTTGAGCCAGGGTCTCATTATGTAGCCCAGGCTGGCCTCAAACTCACTGTAATCCTGCTGCCTCAGCCTCCTGAGTGCTGGGATTACAGGTGTGCGCCACCATGCAGGGCTCTAATCAGTGTAGAATACTACCACTGCTTCCCCGAAGTGAGAAAGTCTCTGTGAGTCTGCGTCGGTCCACCTTCAGACGCACTTTGGCGGGTAAGGGGTCTGTATACTGTGCCGGGGCACCTGTCAGATATCAAGAGCGCACGGGCACAAACATCTCTCCCAAAACTGAGACAAGATTCTCAAGTTCACAAACCATTCAAGAACATGCTTCTCACGAACAAAAAAATCAACCAGGAAAATACTCTCCATATGGTCTTTTCCCCAAAGGGTGAGTGAGGGCTCTGACCAGGAGCCATCCTGGAGACCACACCGGCCACGTGACCCTGGCCCCAGGCCAGCACCCGGACCACTAGGATGATCCTGCATGGTCATGCTTCCCGCAGCTCAGTACACAAGAGGCTCTGGTAGTGGGAGGGAGACAGAACAGAAAGACCGATGGGCAGAGCCATGTAATTTTAAAAAGTTTTTTAAAATAAGTGTTCTTTTGACTCATGTCAGGAGCTAGAAATGAACACAAACTTCCCTCCAGCTGTGGAGGGCACTGTGGAAAAGATGTCATTTCCACCGCGAAGAGAAACGCAGGAACGGGCCAGCACCTCAGGAAAAAATAAATCTTCGGATCTGTGGCGGGGTAGCCGCGCACAGCTGAGACCCCAACAGGACCATCGCCCTGCGGGGCCGCGGGGAATTCGCTGGGCTCCCGAAGACCACCGTGTTAATAACACACGCAAAAACACTGTCTTAGTAAGACAGACGGTCCAACTCCGCGCAAGCACATAGTGTGCTCCACCGGCCCTCACCTGTGAGGCCGCCGGGCAGCTGGCTGGCCTCCCTCCGATGTGCCCCGCTGCTTTCGGCACTAGTGAACTTCCTAACTCGGGCATTGTGCTGTTACATCTGCCGGGCTCGATCACACCAACGAGAAGGTTTCAGCTCACAAGTGCACACATTAACACAAACACCGGCCACCAAACCTTCTGCGGGATCCCATCAGCCGTGCTTCCTGAAGGAGAGTTCCCCACACGCACGCCAAAACCAGGGGGGCCCTCCCAGAACTCACGGAGCCCTGCTTCTCTCCGCTCAGCCGCGATCCTTCCCAAACACCGATCAAACCATCCGGTTCCCCTCGCGGGCACTCCCGCGGATAACCTTGAGCCCTGGGCAGCCGCCCGGTGCCCAGCCTCCCAGGCACGGGGACACGGCCAGGGCGGTGTTTACCGTAAACAAAGGCAAGTTTGCAGACGGCGCGTCTGCGCCCACGCTCGGCCGCCCGGCCGGCAGGCTCCGCGGGCAGCTC